AACTGATTTCTCTTTGAGTAGTTGATTGTTGGTTTATGATCCTAAATAGCAATGAACCTTTGTTTTACTTGTTTATTTATTTATCTCTGTTGTTTTTAATTTTGATTCAGGCTCTTTCTGGGTAGCCCAGGCTGGCTTTGAAGGGGTGATCCCTCTGCCTCAGTCTCTTGAGTGCTGGAGTCATAGGTGTATGCTCACCAGTTAGATTCCCAGAACCTAGACAGAAATGCACCAGCTTTAAATGTGTGCTTTAATTAACTCATATTTTGTAATTGGGCATGGTAGTGAGGACAGGGAGATTTCTGTGAGTTCAAGGCTAACTTGGTCTACACAGTCAATTCTAGGACAGCCAGCTACTCAGAGAGGCCTTGTCTAAAAAATAAAATACAATAAAATAATGTGGTTTTTGCATTGGAGAGCAACAGAACAAGAAAATTTGAACACACCAGCACCATCAACAAGCTACTTTCCCATGCATATTTATTAGATAAATGGATTATCAGTGTGATCTCCAATGAATAGTCAACCCCCCTGCCCTTTGTTAAATAAAGCCTTTTAGCTAGGAACATTCACTAAATGTCTTGTGGTTTAGAGTACTACTAGCTCTATGACTTATTAACTACATAACTCTTTGCAAGTGACTTACTGTCTTCTCCTGGTCTGTTTTCTTGTTTGCAGAATATGGATCATTTTAACTCCATTGGGCTAAAGTGAGAACTGAATTATAAACTGTGCATGTGTTTGGTTTCTTAGGCAGCTTTCTAGCATAACGCTTGGAATAAAGCATCAAATAGTAATAGTAAATTCTTTGCTGAAAGATAAATCCTAAGTAGATAGTTAAAACATTGCTATAGCTGTTAAAGAAATTGAAGCTGTGATTAACTCATGGCAGAAAGCACCAGCCCCAGGGCAGCTTACTGGTTCATATCAAACACTTAAGGCAGAAATTATGCCAGTTCTCCACAAGAGAGAATACTTTCTAACCCAGTCTGTGAGACAGCATTAATCTAATACTCAAGTCAGACAAAGACAGTACAAAGAAAGAAAATTACAGACTGATAATAGCACTCATAAACTCAGAAGAATTCTTAAAAAATATTGGCAAATGAAGTGTAGCTTTGGATAAAAAGAACTGTATAGATTGGCTAAGAGGGTTTATCCCAGTTACGCATAGCTGGTTCAACATTCCATTGCATCCACAGGCCAAAGAAGAAAGGTTATAGCATCATATCAATAGGTCTATAAAAAGATTTCACAGCATCCAACACACAGCTCTGGTAAAGAAAAAGAAACTTTCTCAGTGTGATGAATGCTTTTTAAAGCTGCTATAATTAACATCATCCTTTTGTTTGTTTGTTTTTTTGAGACAGTGTTTCTCTGTGTAGCCTTGGCTATCCTGGACTGGATGTACAGACCAGGCTGGTCTCGAACTTGCAGAGATCTGTCTGCCTCTGTCTCCCGAGAGCTGAGGTTAAAGGTGTGTGCTACACACCACCACACCTGGTGTTAACATCATCCTTAATGGCAAGACACTGGAAGGTTTCTCAAGAAGGTCACTCATTTCAACAGTGTCTGCGTTCACTGCCATTTTTCAATACAGTTTTTGTAGACCTAGCTAATATTATAAAACAAGAAAAGGTAATAAACAGTATATAATTTAGGGAGGTATAAATAAACTGTGTTTAAAAGGAAAATGAATATACAAGGAGGAAAACAGAAAGATTTAACAACAACCACCCTGGGACTAAGAACCCATCAGAGAAAACTGGATGACATAGGGAAGTCCATTGATCTCCTATACATAGCCAAGAAGAAGTAGAATTTGAAATTTAAAAAAAAAAATACTAGTGTGCTTGAAATTACATATTTGTAATATATCTCTTCAGGGAAACATATGGAACACAAACGGAAGGCATCAAAGACCTGAATGAATGGGGAAATATTTATGTTCACAGAAGGAAGACTCAATATTGTCAGGGTATCAGCTCTTCTGAATTTTATTTATAGACACAATACAATCCCAAACAAAATCCTAGGGAGTTATTTTGTGGTTATTGACAAACTGATTCTTAAGATTTGTAGACAAATAAAAGACACTGAATAGCCAACACAATATTGAAGGAGAATAAAGTCAGAGGACAGACATTACCTTATTTCAGATTTACTATAACCTTACAGTCATCAGACAGTGTGGTATTGGCAAAATAATAAACAAATAGATCAGTATAAGAGAAGGGAGCCCAGAAGTAGGCCCACATACACATAGTCGATTATGCTGGACAAAGGAGGAAAATAATACAATAGAGCAAAAACATTCTTTGCAGCAGATAGTGCTGGGACAAGTAGACATTCACATACAAATCTGAGAAAACACAAATATTAACTCAAAAATAGATCACCCAGCTGGAGGCTGGCTCGGTCTGTAAAGTGCTTGCCATGCACAAGGACCTTGGTTTGAGCTGCAGAACCTAACCCAAAATGCTGGGATAGTGGCATGCCCTTGTACCAGCTCTGGGAAAACAGAGATGGACAGATCCCTGGAGCTTGCTTGCCAGCCTGTCTCTCCTCATTGGTACTCTCTAGGCCAATGACAAGCCTTTCTCATCTCAAAGGAGGTGGACAGCATTATTGAGGATGACAGCGAAACTTGGCCTCTGACCTCCATGCACATGCGCTCTCATGTATATGAGCACACATACATACACACACACATACATACATACATACATACATACATATATATATACAGCCCTTTATCCAAATGTTAAATAAAAAACTATAATATTCTAGAAGATGGGTTAGAAAGCCTGGATGACTCTGAGTATGACATTGACATTTTAGACATACCTGGAAAGGCTCAATCCATGAAAAAAATAATAATAACTGATATGCCAAAATTTAGTAAATCTATAAACTTCTAACTCTTTGAAAGAAACTATCACGAAAACCAGAAACCAAGATAAAATGTTTATAGAAGGCACATCTGAAGTCAGAATGCGATCTGAAAGAATCCTGAAACTCAAACATTAATAAAAGTGCATGGTAAGTATATTGTGGGCAGATGACCCAAACGGATGTCTCACCAAAGAATGAGACGAGGAACTCAGGAACAGATGCTCTGTCTCATCTGTCACCAGAAAACTGTAAATTCCAACTACCAGATATACCACAGTCTGCTGCAGCAGCCCACTTCCAGAAGGCCAACCTCAAAGGCCGGTGCGGGTGTAGAGAAGCAACCGGAATTCATTTGTCGCTGGTGGACATGCAAAACTGTCTCCCCCCAGTTTTGAAAAGTGGTGTCAGTTTCTTACAGAACAAAACATATGTTTTTCATATGATTCAACAATTGTAATCCCTAGTTCCTACCCAAATGAACTAGGAACCTCTCTTCATGAAAATCATTCACATGTGTGTTTCTGACGGCTTTGTTCATAGCTGCAAAATATAGGAAGCAACCAAGGTGTTTTTCAACATATGAATGGATAAACTGTGGCATAGCCAGAGAAGGGAATATTGCCCAGCAATGAGAAGGGAGCTGTGAAAGGACATGGAAGAAACTTAGTTATATTGTGGCAGTTTGAATGAGACCAGCCCCAAAGACTCATATATGTGAATGCTGAATTCCTGGTTGGTGGAACTTTTGGAGAAGGATTAGGAGGTGTGGACTTGTTGGAAAAGGTATGTCCTTGTTGGAGGAGGTATGTCAGTAGAGTTAGACTTTCAGGCTTCAAAAGCCTAGGCCATTCCAGTTGGCTCACTCCCTACCTCATAGCTGTTGTCTCCACATGTAAGTCCTCAGTTACTGCTCCAGTACCACACCTGCCTGCCTGTTGCCATGGCATGGCATGACATGACATGGTGGATCCGAGGATCCAGCCTCTGAAACTGTAGGCAAGTGCCCAATTAAATGCTTTCTGTTATAAGTTGCCTTGGCTGTGGTGTCTCATCACAACAGAAAAGAAACTAAGACACTTTTATTAACAAGTGAAAGAAGCCAATCTGAAAGGGCCATATGGTGTGACCCCACCGATATCAGATTCTAGAAAATGTAGAACTATGCAGAGTGATGATGGGACATAATTACAAAGCATTTGAAAATGGAGGGGTGGCTGAGCAGAGTCCAGAGACCGGTTAGGACACTAAAACTGTGCTGATACTAGACTGGCTTATATGGGACGTCAGTGTCTGTCAGTCCCATAGGAGATACGCTAGGAATGAATCCTATCTGACCTCGGGTGATGCTGTTTCTGTGTGCAGTCACTGGCGGCAGCTGCTGCAAAGGGCTCACTACTCACCGTGTACTTATAGTAGTGGTTAACCTTGGAGGCTCTCCAGTCAGCTTGGCAGGGTTGGGGTCCAGTCACACTTTCCCTGAGGTTTGGTTTCTTAATCTCTGAAATGGAGATAAAGAGAAACCTATCTCAACCGTTTAGAGAGGTGTAAATGAGATTTAAATTACTTAGGATAGTGTCTGTCTCATAAAAAGTTTCAGCTCAATAAATCTTAGCCATTAGACCTTTTACAAACTTACAAGCACTTTCTTTTTTTTATCTATAGTGTCTTATTGAGTTGTTCTAGTCCTTCTCCAAGCTTGACATTATTGTCCTCACATTGTCGACAAAGAAATTCCATCTCCCAATGGCTAAATAGTGTCCCAAGGTGTCATTGTCACAAAATAATAACTTCAACACTGGCTTTGGGACTTCAAATCCTGTGTGCACTGCTTTCTGTGACCTTTGAAATTGTGCTTATTTTTAAATTGTGTGTGTGAGAGAGAAAGGCAGGGAGGGAGGGAGGGAGGGGGCACAGAATCCAGAAGAGGATGTCAGATTGCCTAGGAATGGAGTTACAAGGCAGCTCTGAGCTATCTGACATGAGGACTGAACTCTGCTCTTTCGTAAGGGAATTAAATGCTTCTAACCTTATAGCAATCTATCAACCTTCTAGTCTTCAGGAAGTCCTAATGTCTTCACTAGTTTACATCTTTCTTTCTCTTCCAGGTCCTCAGCACAGCACAGACAAGAGGTTGTCATCCACAGAGGAGCCTTGAGACCTATTTCTATAACAGACACCATCTCATGGGGGAGGTGAGTGAGAACAAACAGTATGAAAGCGCCGTTGCTGGAGGTCACTGCCTGCTTTAGGATATACCAGGGAAGGCATACCATGAACAGGAGTTTTCACAAACTAGACTGGCTCACACTGTGAGGTGAAGATTTGCCTGTAGGCTAAGTCGAAGGAATTTCCAAACATCTCCGCCACCATTAGCGCCACTATAAAACCAGGTAAGATGACATAAAAATGCAAATTAATAACATAAAGAAAGGGAGGAACAGCCCTATGGGCCTATCATGAACACAAACCATAATTAACATTTTTTGGGGGGGGGGGGAAGTTGTCACATTTTTAGCAGTTTTGAGCAGTTCAGGGTCGGTGCCTCTCTCTTGTGTCGGTGAGACACAAGGAGAAAAGGCCCCCTCAGTGAGTTCTACTTAGCTGACAAGGTAGCTTTTTCTTGCTGGATGGAGGGTTGGGGGCAGGGGGTATGGTCAGCAGTAGTTCTTTGAAGGAAAGGCCTTCCGCAAAGAAGAATTTGTAATGCGATGAAGACATTTAGCGGCTTCCAAAAGTAGCTTTTGTGTGTATGGCTTATGTGATAACACACACAACTTTTTCTTCCCTCTTTTTAAGGAATAAACATCTAAAACTAGAATGGTTGGATTAAAGGACATGCACATCTAAAAGTTTTATATAAGCACACAAATTGTCTTCCAAATACGCTTTACCGATTTATACTCTCTGCATTTGTATAGATATAACAGATATCTATACAATAATAGATATAGTATTATTTTTTCCAGAATAATTCTTCAGAATGCTAAAAAGAATTTATACTTTCCTCCGTGGATGTTACCTCAGTGAACTAACAGCTCCATGGCCTTGAACAAGATGCCGGAAGCCCACCAGTGATCTGGTATGGTGGTTTGTGTTGTCAATGCAACAGAATCCAGAATCACCTAGAAGGCAGACAGGGTCAGCCTCTGGTATGCCTGTGAGGGGTTGTCTTGACTGTTTTTATTGAGGCAGGAGGATCCACTTTAAAGGAAGACACCAGGTTTGGTCCCAGACTTGCTGAGCACATGAGGTCTTCACTCTCTTCTTCCTGATTTTGGACGCAATGTAGCCAGCTACCAAGCTCCACGGTGCTTCTCTGTTATGATAGCATACACTTTCAAACCATGAGCCAAAGTAAGTCCTTTCTCCCTTAAATTGCTTTTGTCAGAGTTTGGCTTTTTGGTTCTGTGTTGTTTTGAATCACAGCAATAGGAGGAGTAATAAAGATATCTGGTTTCCATGATAGGATCACACCTGGCTTGTACACTTGCTGGCCGGGTGAGCCAGTTTCTCCCTCTGTGAAACTAGAATAACGGTGCTTACTTCAAAGCGTTGTGCTGACAATAAATAAAGTTGGCTGCATTATCACTGATTAGGTAATAAGTAAATACACACCTGCCACTTCCAGTTGCTGTTATTTATAGCCTTATGGAGTTTAAGCTATTTGCATCCTATTCTGTCCCTTACCTGTGTCATAAGATACTATTCTTTTGTGGTAGACTGACCGAATTAAAACTGCCTTTCGTCAAGTATTTATTAAGGTATCGACAAGTTTTCTCAATAGGCTGCATGTCAATGAAGATTCAATTTTTTTTTAAATGTTTTGTTTTCTTTAGTTAACTATTATTTCCTTTAACTCTGGACTGTCCAGTGTCAACTACATAGAAATTCAGGTGTCTTGAGTCCTGAGACATGCTGATGGCTCCCATAATAAGTCTTCATTTTCACTGCATTTCCTCTTATGAAACCCCAGTTATAGATTTATTGGTCACAGTATAAGGTTCCTTCCAAGTTTAATATATATGATTTATAATTAAATCAGCATCTATTCAGGTCTATTAAGTTTAATCAAAATTATTATCATGGGCCTGACCTAGAAGCTTCGGTAAGCAGCTTCTGGAAAGGGCATTAAGAAAGGATGTTCTTGGTGTACTAATCTACTTTTCATTACTGTAACGAAATACCCAAAGCAGATGAACTCTATAAAGAAAGGGGGTTTAATTAACTCACAGTTAGGGAAGCTGGAAGTCCAAACAGCATGTGTCAGTCTTTGGTGAGGACCACCCACCTCAGCTGTATGTAGCACCTCAGGATGGATGGCAATGACATCATCAGTCACAAAGCCAAAGGGAACTTTAGGACGGGCTCAAAACCTTACCACAATTCACTCTCAAGAATATTCACGCCAAGACACCAGTCTTCCCTTTGTGACACAGGAACCCAGATGACCTGAGAACCCTCCACCACCACACATACTGCTTCAGGGCTCCTGTCCATCTGGAGCCCAGGGAGCTGTCTCTGATACAGCTCTCCTACTGTTATAGCCCTTTTAGTGACCCAGCTCTTCCAGGGACACAGCTCTCTTAATTTGGGGTTGGGGAGTATACAAGCTATATAAACCTTGGGGAAGTAGGCAAGGGTTTTCTGGGGAGTGAACATCATTGGTTGGGGGCTGAGGTGCTGCAAATGCTTCATATGTGCGGTGAGAAATTCCAGGAGCTAGGCTACCTAGAGGATCGCAAAGGTAGGGGTTCCAAGACTACCTGGACATGCAGGCACAGATCTCCTGCTGGTCTCAGGATGGAGATTTTCAGGGTTTGGATACTTGTCATCCTCACTCTAGCTTCAGGCTGGTTTCCCCAATTACACTGTCCAGGTGTCCCACAGTCCCTCACGTTGCTGTACTAGAAATCAAGCCAGATAAACCTTTAGGGAATGAAGAACATCCAACCAGAGCCCTTAGGCAGATAAGGAGGAAAGAAGATCCTACAAAACAAGCCTGGCCCCAAATCACTGCCCTTATTGAGTGGCACACAGGGCTAATTTTGATGGCTATGGGAAGGACATGCACAGCATAGTCTCTGAGGTGCCACTGGCGGATTACCAAAACATGTTCCTTCCCAGTTGCTTATTTGTAAAGGTCAAATGGGGGTGTCCTAAGACTTCCCCCAGGAGGTCTTGAAAGGAAGTGAGAGAGGAGAGGTAATAAATCATTGTTTCAGTTTTCTGTTTGGTTTGTCGCACGGCTTTAGCAGAGTTCAGTGTCTTAGTGAAACAAGCAGTGATCTCAATCAGAGGCAGTCAAGCAATCTGCCTAGCAACAGCGCAGTCCTTTGGGTTGTTTTAGATGTATCAGTGGATGAGCCAGGTCAGCGAGAAGTATGCGGATGTGTTGACACAGCATTTCCTGGGAATGACCTGTGAGACCCCGCCCATGTACTATCTGAAGGTGAGTGCTCAGGCTGAGCCTGACGTTATGGCAGAATCTGCCCCGTCAGACTGCACGCCAGCCAGAGGCTCTGTCAGAACTGCTGGAGGAGTTCAAATCGCTGTGCATAAATCTTTGCCTTTTCCACCCCAAACTGGGTTCCTGCATGTGCCTTCTTTTTATAAAGCTGGGGTGCTGAGGCAAAACAGGACCCAAACATAGAAGAACCCATGAGTGGATTGCCCCAATATGGATTCTTTAGAAGCGGCTCACTTTTTAACTTTTCTGTCCTTTGTTGGTGGTGGTGGTGGCTTTTCTTTTCTTTTCTTTTTCTTTTCTTCTCTTCTTTTCTCTTTCCTTCCCCTTCCTTTCCCTTCCCTCCCTCCCTTCCTTCCCTCCCTCTTTTCTTCCTTTCTTTCTTATGTGCCTGAGTGTGTTTGTAGAGGTCAGAGAAGGACTTGCAGGACTGGGCTTTCTTCTTCCCCTATGTAAATTTTGGAGTTCAAACTTGGGTTTGTCAGAGTTGGAGGCAAGTGTCTCTTCTTGCAGAGCCATCTTGTTAGTTCAAATGTTTTGATTTAAAAAGAGAAACTGCACTCCTCCCCCCAAAAAAAATGTTTTAAAAACACAGAAAACCTTCACCTATTGTTCTTTGAGACAAACTCAGAGAAGTAAGGTGATTTATACAAGGTCCAGCTCATATAACCAGACAATCGCATAACCCAAGAGATAGTTCGGGCCTCAGTTTTCCTAACGTTTTTGCATGTAATGTGGTAAAAAGTGTCTGAGGTCCATCACTCATCCAAAGAGCTGGGCTCCTAAGCTTTTAGGGCTGGACCAGGGAGTGTCTATCCTGACTAGACATTAAAATCCCCTGTGGAGTATGGCCTAATAACTGACGTCTCAGTCCCTCCCAAAGACATGGTGGCCTGATTGTTCTAAGACAGGATAAGGCACCCTTGGAAATGTGCAACCCTAGCAGGCAAAACAGCAGTCTTCCAAAGGGTGGTCCTTAGTTCCCCTCTATCAGCAGCGTCTGGGAACGTGTTAACAAATGCACATTCTCGGATCTCACTACACACATCTCTGATATCAGAAACCCTGGGGGAGCGCCTGGTGCCCAGACATCTGTGTTCTAACCTGCCTGATCTTGATAATTCTGATGTCCACGCAAGGTTCTTTTGCCAACAAGTTCCAGCTGACACTGACAGTGTTATGGAAGAGTATATCATGTTGCCCTATACTACTTGTGCACACTGATGGGGAGGGAAGAGGAAGCCCTGAGTGAGTGAAGCTTGTACATTTTGACATGGACACGGCCATGATGAGGACAACAAGGCCTCAGACCCAAGGGTCAACTTGCCCAGGCTCACGTCTATATCGGCCAGGCTCAAGGGGAATGCAAAGCTTTCCTTGGGAGCCTGAGTATTTATTAAGGACTGATGGGCGTGTGCAAAGACTAGCAACTGCAGTTTCCTCCGGATGTTCCCAGCCCGAGACTGCTCACCTATAAAGACCTGCTGTGAAGCTTGGCCAACCCTCCTGCTGTGCTGCACCACACTGAGATTCCAGGTTGCAGTGACTGGAGGCCTGATCCTGGCTTTCCTGCGCATGCGTCTGCCTTTTCCTCAGGATCCCAGAATTCAAACCTCTGTGGGACTTGGAAGCTACACTAATTTACAAGATGGACCCTCCCCACCCCCAATTTGAGAAGCTCTTAAAACTGTGTCAAAATTACTGCCTCAGACAAGGTATCTACTCAGAGATGGACTAATCTGTGTGGAGCAGTGGGTACCAGTCAACGTGAGTTCTGAAAGACACTCAGATTCTAAGCTGAGTCTGCCAAGATGCCTCAACCTACTCTGCCCAGGGCAAGGATAAGTAAAAGAATAAAAACCTAATAAGGGGGCAATAAAAACAAGCACAGAACTAACCCACAGATGATCATAAAATGGATAATTTTAGAAGAAAATTGGGGTAAGAGGGGGTGAGGAATTGTCCTAGAAACCTTGAGAGGCAGGGGAAGTTACAAGAAGAAAGTCCATTGAATATGTCAACCCCGGCCATGCCATTGCCTCATCTTGTAAGTATCTTGTGTGAAGGAAAGAGCCTTCATCAGCTCAGTTGCCGAGGCTTTGGCAAACAGCTTGGTGCAGGCCATTTACAAATCCAAGACAGATACAACTGTTAGACCCTAGGACTGTTTAGAGCCCCTCCTCCACCAGAGAGGACCCACAATTGTCAGTGTTACCTCCCACCTCTAGGAAGAGAGCAGATTTCTTCCTGGAGAAGGCTGGCTTGATGTCCAGGAATAACGAATGGGCAGGGAAGGGAGAAGACAGCGATGTCTTAATGGGTGGAGGAGTAACTGGAAAATTGAACAAGCACTGTGTGGGTGGGGGCAGACTTTGATCTGTTCAGTTTCTGGACGTTTAAGTGAAGGTTTGGTTCATTTTAAAATAGTTTGCTTCTTGACCATCACAGCTGACATGCTTTGCTCTCTGGGTACACTATATATAAAGCCTGTAAACATAGGGCATATATGCATTTTTAGCTGGTGGGACAGTTGACTTGAACCTGAGGTCCCTTGGCCTCTGTCTTTCTCCAGAGTCCTGGAATCAGAGACATGTGCCACCACACCCAGCACAGTGTTTATCAGGTCTGGAAGATGATTCTATGTGTAATAAAGTTTGAGAACCACTATACACTTTGCAATCATGGGATTAATTCAGGGTACAGGAAAAAAGTGATCCTTTGGATGGGTATGCTGGGAAAACAGCGCACAGCCCTGACAACAGTTATCAAGGCAATGGGCAGGAGAGCAAGGTAGCAGAGTAAAGGACTTCATTGGTTTATGTCTCCCTCTACCAGCATCCTGGCCACCATCTGTGAGCCTCAGAAGGAAGTGAGAGAGGACACTGTAGGACATGAAAACCTGGTAGCTTTGCATGGTGGCTTATACTGGTGATCATTTGGTTACGTAGCCTGAATGTTCTCTCTAGATCAGCCAACCATCCAACATTCCCAAGATCATTTGGATGGACTGTGGAATTCCTGCCAGGAAATGGATTGTCCCTGCTTTTTGCCAATGGTTCGTGAAAGAGGCAAGTGTCTTTAGCTGCCTCATGATGCTAAATCATGCCATTGAGTACCTATCACTTCTGGGCTCTTTAGACACATACTTCTTTCCTGTTAGCTGTAACTGTGCTGAATTAGCCCCTCACTTCAAGTGAAATGGAATTAGTGAGTAGCCTTGCCAAAAACTGAGTACCCTGACTTCATTCTACTGCATCCATAATCATTTTTATTGGAAAGGAAACCTACCTGAACGTAGAAGATGTATATTTGAAGTCAGAGATGATATCGAATATTGTCAAATAGTATTGGGGAAAAATTTCAAACACTCACCTAGCTTCTCATCTATTACGGGAGCTTGGAAATGACAACCCATTTGTCTGCTGTGTGGGTCAAGAGATTTCCTACATGGAAAAATACCTAGAGTGATGAGATTTCATATTTCCCCTCTCCTCTCTCCTTTAGGGAGTAGGACAACTTTAAAAAATAACATGTTTCTGTTAGTCTTTTTAGAAACACAAATTATAAAAGATAACCCAGGAAAAGTCCTTCCTAAGAACAAGAGAAGAAATGCCAACTGGGAGAAATACAAATTGGCTCCATCTCACCTAGTGAGCTATAAACTTCCAAGGGGCCGGGGAGAAGGACAGATACAGCGGGCCGGTCAGTGTTTTGTTGTTGTTTTGAGGCAAAGTCTCACTACGTACCACCGTCCAGTCCCAAACTCATGCAATCCATGAACTCTAGATCTTCTTGCCTTGTTCTGTCTCCAGAGTGCAGGGATGACAGACTGGTGAGCTGTCAGGTGATAACTTCTTGCAATCAACTTTGAGAGCCGCTCTTATAAAGGACAGTCGCAGTTAAGGAGGACCTGGTGGCTGGAACTGTGATGGCAGCCAGGTCTTATAATTAGGCTGAAATTTACGGAAAATCAGAAGAGAAAGATTTCTTCCTAGAATCGTTCCAGATGTTTCTCTCTTAACTTCTACAGAATATAAAGACAGTGCAAGGATCAGCAGGCTCCTTAAGGAACTAGACTTCTATGTGCTACCAGTCCTATAGTGGAAGTCTTGCTTTCTTTAAAAACTCAGTTATGTTATGTAAATGTGTTTTTGTCTTAATCCCAAGTGTGGGATATGGGGCGGCCTTAGGTTATCCACAGCCAATAACAGCTTCATGTGGCTCAGAGAACCAGCTGCAGTTAGTAGAATTCTGCAGGCTCGGAAAGGGTATAAATAACAGAGGCCAGAGAGAGAAAAGCAGGCTTCAAGGAGACGGTCAAAGGAGAAAGAAGGCAGCTGGTTCATCCTGCTGCTGCATTTGCTGTTTGCTGGTCTGCTGGATATCCTGATGACTGAGATTGGTATTGCTCCAAAGAAGCCAATGATCCCAACCAGCTGAAAGTAGCCAAAGAGAACTCTGCTCCTTCTCCCCACTAACCTTCTTTCCTTCCTACATAGTTTGCAGGGTTTGGAAGGTGTTAGGGTAGATAAAGCTTGGAAGGGAGGTAGAGAATGTAGGAAACCAACAAATTAGACAAAAAGTAAGTCATCGCAGTCCTGAACACTGACAGTTATATCTACACGTGGAGAATGGTGTGGACACTGCATTTGGGCCAGGGTTATGTTCATGTACTGATGATCGACTCGGTTCATTCCTCTGATGTCAGCCATTCTAGTTATGGGAATCTTTTCTAGCCATGTAAAGAGAGAAGCCCTGTTTGATAGCTTTTCATCAAAGTCAATTTTAAGACGTGGAAGCCTCATACCTTCTCAGAGTTTGAGCCTGGTGTGGGAGACCTCTATGGTTTTCCATCGTCCCAATTCTCCATTTGGGCTTACTTGTTTTCTTCTGCCATCTTCTTGGTGTTTATGGCTTGCTCATTACCTGATTAGTATTGCATTGATATAGGTTTCATATACTGACCTACATCCATCTACCTCAGATCAGTTCTAGACGCATGTGGAGAAACACATGATGTCAGAATACAAAACTAGCCTGTGGCTTTCAATGTGATCATTCAGAAGGTTAAATGTCCCAGGTGGCTAATGTTGTAATAGCAGCAATGTTTATAAAGCACATTACTCCCCAAACAAGAACTCCTTTTCTAGAGAGCACCTTTCTTCCTCTCTTTCATCACTTCTCAGAGTTTCCCATTTCTAGAAAGCACTTCCTCCTCTTCCATCCATCCCCAAAGCTCTCTCCTAGGACCTCTTCTCTGGAACAGCCATTCTGGCCCATTGCATGAATCAAGGCCCCTGTAAGCTTTCCTGGTAACACTTATCTTTATCCCCATTTCTACTAACCATTCTTCTTCCAACAGTGTGCAAAAAATCAAACAAATGAAAAATACAAACAAGAAAACAACAAAATAAAAATCATCTCTAATACACCTGGGATGGCCTTTTCCATTTGCCGGGCTGTTTGCCTTGTGTCTTATATAACTGAATCCTAAACTGTAACCAAAGCTGCTATGAGTAAGATCCTGGCTGTAGACCCAGCTCACTGCTTAAGAATGAAAGGCCAAACTAGCCCTCAGTTGGATGGCTTATACATCTGTTTATTTGGTTTGTACTGATTATGTTCCTATTGTTGGGTGTGGCCGGCTTCTTTGCAAAACTAAAATTCACATATGCACATATTTTATAATGATAAATGCAAGGTTTTTTCCCCCTGATAATTCTGGACATGTTTTCTATGTGCAAGGGCCACCCATCATTATTGACACTGATCTCTGCATGTCAACACCCCGCTGTTCCTCTGTTTCTGGATTGCCTCTGGAGGAGGTCCAGCTTATCCCATCATAACAGCACATGCTCTGGAACAGCTCTCCACCAGAATTTCAATGTCTCCTGGTGTAGCAAGTACCTGATCAGCAGATAAGCTGATGAACAACAACAATAACAACGGGCTGAGATGCACAGTGACTTACTAAACATAACCATTTTTGAAAAATCCACTCAGTGTTTTCAGGCATGCTTACTGTCTTATTTCTTTTAAAGAGATAGTATCAGCTATACAGCATTCATGTGCAGAACTCTTTTTGAATGAGATTGGGGAAACACAGACAGAGTAGACCTAGACCACTGTCTAAGTTAGGGTTTCTATTGTTGCAATAAAAGAGCAAGTTAAGGAGGAAAAGGTTTATTTGACTTAGAGTTCCATATCACTGTTCATCATCAAAGGAATTCAGGACAGGAATTCTAACAGGGCAGGAACCTGGAAGCAGGAGATGAGGCAGAGGCCATAGAGGGGTGCTGCCTACAGGCTTGTCCCTCTGGCTTGCTCAGTCTGCTTTCTTATAGAAGCTAGACTACTCATCCAGGGATAGCACCACCCACAATGGGCTGGGCCCTCCCCATCAATCACTAATTAAGAAAATGTTCTCCAGGCTGGCCCACAGCCCAGTCTTATGGAGGCCTTTTTCTTAATTGGGGTTTCCTCCTCTCAGATGACTTTAGCTTGTGTCAAGTTGGCATAAAACCAGCCAGTACAAGTAGTCAGGATATGTTTTAAGCCATCACTTGGTTTTAAAATATACAGCTCACCATCAAGGAGATTAAAAACCAGAATCTTTTGGGTGTTTTTTACAGCAGGAGTCAGACAGAAAGCAGAGTAAACATTTTTTTTCCCTCTCCTCCAGGCACTTCTGTGTCCCCAAATCTTGATATGCTCAAAGCGTTAGAAGCAAATGAAGAATCAGGGGTGGGTAAGAACACTGCCACTCACTGCACGGCAAGGGTTATGATACAGTCATTATAGCTTGGTGATCTAGGAAAAAAAAAAGTGCTTCATTTTTCTGTTTTTGATTTCTTATTTAAAACATTGATCACACAATCCCACCTTATCCAAAGTCTATTATTTGTGTTAAATGTGATGCCACTTAGGAAGAGCACTGACCTAGCATGTAAGGGACTTTGTTATTAGCATGGACAGACTACCTGGCTCCTAGGAAAATAGCTCTGATCGGACACAAGCCAGCAAGAAATACTGGAAGTGGAGACATGGCAGATAAATCTGTAAGAATTTGCCTAAGGAATCTAATATCCGATTCCCAGTCCCCCACCTCTGAAGCACCTTGGTTCAGCATAAGTTTAAGGAAGATTTCCACACTGCCATTCCATTTTGTATTTTCTCTTCTGGGCCATAAAGGGACAGAGTTTGTGCATTGGAGTCTAGAGCTCCAGGCAAGCCCTCATGCTTTTCTGAACTCTACAATGCATGGCTACTTCAGTGATTCTGCAGTTGATTAACTAACAAGACTGACTTGACAGCCAAGGACAAGCCTGAGCCCCATGAGCAAGGTTTGCTACTCCCCCCTGCTCGTTTATAAACTGACATCATGAAGTGTTTCCATGACCTCCTGTATTTTCTAGGTATCCAGTGCTTCCACAAACAGCCAAGATCTAACATTCTGAGGGATAGAACCAACATCTGAACCGGAGACTAAAGTGGTCTCAAGCCTTATAGAAAGCAATAAAGAGAAAGAAAGAAAGAAAGAAAGAAAGAAAGAAAGAAAGAAAGAAAGA